AAGCCACACTTGCCAAAAGATCAGCAAGTGAGGAAAACTGCTGTTCTTGACCTCAAGGTAAGAGGGAAGCAGAGGCAGTCAAGGAAAGCGTGAAGAACCAGGAGTTAATTGTAACAACTGCCTTATAGTGGGAGGGTGGAGAATGGGCAAAAAAAGAGAGATGATATGGAAGTAGATGGCATTTGACATGAGAAGATAAGGAAATTGGAATCAAAGTCAGGTAAGTGTGGGTCACTATAGATTTTGAGAATTATTTGGGTAGTGAGGTATCTTACTATGTAATGTAAAAAAGCTGCTGCTAGAGAAGGCTTAAAGAGCGGAGAAACTCCTGAGGAAACAAAGGGGAAATTCTGAGTGTGTTGTGGAGGTGGAGGGTTTCCTAAAACAGATGTCACGTTTCAGGCCGGACACAGTGACTCCTCCAACCTGGCCTGGTGTTTATTAAAAGCCAGAGGAGCTACTGCTCACAGCTGGCAGGAGGAGACACTCAGCATATCTGGTTTTGGTATTCTACCAATAAATTTTTAAGAGGCTGCTTCTACAGAACCACAATGTTACACATGCCTTGCGGTTTGAAGCCAACATCTCAGCATCAAAAAGCGGCATGGCCAGTGACCGTTGGGAGGAGAATTAGCAGGTCATGAAGAAGGTTGTGTCATTCCTTTGGAAAATAAAGCAGCATGCTAGACAACTAATAAACTTCCACATCCAACTGTGAAATAGCTTATAGCTTTTCATCCTAGATTAAAACAGGCAGTTTGTGCCACGTGCAGAACTCTTATTTAATTTTGCCCTAGATTTCTTTTGTGAGCTGTTTAGCTGTCCCACTTCACACTTTACTGGAGGGTGATGTCTAAGATGTCATCAGGACAACAGTCTAGAAATAGTAACTTCAACTGTCTCCACACTACCAGCCCAGAGAACAATTGACTCCACAGAGGAACTGTGTGGCAGAGACAAGCATGTAAGTGAAAGACATGGCAGAGGGATTAGAGACGATATTTAGATATGGGCACTTATCTAAGGAGAGGGACATCTGTTATCTCATGTAAAAAGACAAGCTGAAAAGAGTGGGAGAAAAAAAGACTCTTAACTTGCTGGAAATATTGACAGGATTTTCAGCTCACTGGAAAGCCTAGGAGGACAATGCTCAGGTTTCTACTGAAAAGCTCTGTAACCATCTAGTGCTCTGTAACTTCTCTAGGCTGACCAACTTCTTTGCTAAACTAGCGAACTGACCACACTGCTATCAAGTCGTCTTTGAATACCCTGGTTCTAGTTAACTTTCACTCCTCTGAACACATAAGCCAAGCTAGACAGAGGCTGATCAGAAGCTCAGCTAACTGAAACAAACGTACAAGATTCACTTGCAGGCAGAGTTCGCACTAGGACGTAGATTTTTTTTTTCCTGCTGACTAGACAGCCACACTCATCCTCATTACATTCCTGAATGCAACCAGCCCAAACACTGCTGTCCTACTGAAAAGGCAGAAAAAGGAAATCAGGGAAACGGCCTATGGTCCTTGCCTTTCAGGAGGGATATGCTCTAAGTGCAGGAATGGAAAACGGCATCTCCATGCCTGGCTCCCACTCTCGTACAGTACCACCAGCAAGTTTCTCTTCAGTCCTACTTAGCATTCACTAATGCCGCATCTTTCACTTTTCTGTATGGAAGTCAGATACACAGATATCTTTGAGAAAGTGGGTCTGGGTAAAGTGGTAACAACTAGACAGATACAAATGCTATCGACATGTAAATGAAACAAAATTCTCTCTCTCTATTCTTGCCACCAAGAGCTTGGAAAAGAAAACAACTTTTGCTGTCAATCAAGAAAGCTGAATACAAAACACTTTACAACCACATAAGAAAAAGTGAAGCTCAGAGAGAAACTGAGGGCCTTAGTTTTCCTCATACACCAAAAATACATTACAGTTTTAACGTCATAAGCTCACTTAATTGTGAGATACATGCCTTTGTCTTTTTTTTTTTAAACATGGCAATTCCTACCTTCAAGTCATTAGACAAATTGCTCAAATTCTCCAGATCCTTATCCAAAGCTAAATTTAGTCTAATAATAAATCCTCTTAAAAAAATGAAAAATTTGTGCACAGTGTCAATGGGATGTGTCAATGATTGAGAGAACATGTCCAAATTTGAAGGCAGTATATTCGTTACCATCTTTTCTAAACGAGTACTGGAAAACCCAGAAATTCAGGATGAGACAAAGGAATGGAAATATATTCCAGTATAGAGAATACCCAAAGAGCATTAACTTTATCCTATAGTGACACCGTGAGGAAAAAAGAAATAAACTACACTAATTTTAACGATACATGAGATGCAGTGCAGCCTTCATTCTTGTGCTTGTTATTATTGGATAACAGTAATTGCTAGGCTGCAGAATAAAGGGCTTGGGCATGTCCTAAGCACAAATATCCTAATGATATAATTGAGGCTACCACTACTTATCTCTTGAGTTTACGTTGCAAAGAAGATTAGTACTTTTTACTTTAACTTACTTTTATATACCTATACTGTTATATACTGTCTGAAAGATATCAGTGACAGATTAGTTGAACAATTCTGCATTGGAATTCAGTGAATCTACTGAAATCTCCTCGTATCTGGGAATGCTGTATGTAATTGGAGGTTAATATGAAAATATGTTAGATCATTCACCATGCCCATCTCTATCACAGCTGTTAAATTTCACTCAGCTATACTTCAAGCTTCAAGAATTACCTAGGTCAACTACCTCAAGCCTAGAAAATCAGACTGATTGCTAGGAAAACGAAGAGATGAATACCTGTCACACCTGAAGGCACAGCTCACCTGTATTCAATACTGCACTTCCAAAAGCAGCCAATCTCAAAGTAAGGTGAACATATTTAAAGGCCAAATTATACAGTAGAAGAATGAAGCTCTTCCAGATCCACAGATGACTCAGCAAAAACCCTGAATCTTAGCGTTTCATTACAATCACTCTCCTAGCACAGACAAGTGCAGACTTGAGATAAGGATTTTCATCAAAGGGTCTCTTAAGTTCCTTTCTGTACCTGTTTTTAGGTGAGACATGCAAAGCAAGGGAATAGAGATCTTAGCTTTGTAATAATCTGTAACATTTGAAGCATACAGAACAGCTGGGAGCATTTAAGTAGAAACTGAACGTTTTTCTGAGACATTTGTTTAGACTTAGTTTTACATAGGGAAGTGGAAATTAAGAACTAATTCCCTTGCTTTACATGCTTTTACAAGGTGTTTTTTTCTTCCAGTCAATAGAACTTGTTATTCTTTTGTCAGCAGGGCTGAAATGTCCTACCTTTCTCCCACATCTCACTAATAGGTCACTTCTCAGCCTTCTCTCCAATTCAACAAAACAAATTCAGTTCAAACTTTACACAACAAGACTTTTGCCCAGCCTACGGATCATTTTTTGTGATCCTCTTCTAAATTTTGCTTGAATCCGTTTTGTCCCTGAAATACGAATACCAGAGCTATGTACACTACTCCAGCT